TTTTTGGTTTTTCTCCGGTACCGGGAACCGAACTCACGACCTTGCGCTTGCCAGGCAGGCACTTTTGCCACTGAGCTAAATCCCCAGCCCCCTATGTCTCTGATTTTAAAGCCATAAGTGTAGTAGGATTCTATTCCAAAATCATTAGTATAAGGTGTAAATGATGGTAGCTTAGAGAAAAGAGAAGTAGAGGAATTCATGATGCACACAAAGACTGAAGCCTCAGTAGCTGAAGATCAGATGTGGGACAGGCAGCATGGAGGAATCAGAGGGACTTGTAGAAATAGACAGCAAGAGGACAGGAAGGAACTCAGGATGAGTCCAGGTCTTGGGCTCCAATACCTGGGTCTCATTCACTGAGATGAGAAATACTACGTGAACAATAGAAATCAGGAAAGAAATCAAGAGTTGGGACAGAAATCAAGAGTGCTATTTTGCTGTGCTAAGGTTGGGACATCACAATACTCCTGTGACAGAGACACCTGGGTGTCTGACTCTAGTGACAGGAGGAAGGTCCAATGGCCTTGCCACAACCCCAGTTTCTTATTTGGCTAAGCAGTGGCAGGCTTCTCTAATATTTTAACAGATTTTGAGTTACCTTTAGAAATTTGTACTACTTATTTGCATAATTTAGATTTCTGTCCTTTTTTTTCTTTTGGAAAGAGTCAGACAGAATGCAGAATGATGTTCTTTGTAAACATATTTTTATACTTGATAAGTAGATCATATATTTCCAGTGAAATGAAACCAATCCTAAGAAAAATGTATTTGTATTTTAGGTACATCTTTCTAGGAGGAAAATAGTTTACAGGTTATTTCTCATTTAGAGGAGGTAATGTGGTTGTAAAAGTACATTTCCCAAATAGAAAAACTGAGTAGACCAATAATAAGAATTGAATCAGTAATAAATTTCACTTCAGAGAAAATCCCAGGACCAGGCTTCACACAAAACTTTACCAAACTTTTGAAGAGGAACCAGTAGCACTGCTTCTCAAACTCTACCAGAAAAGTGACATTTTAGATCTAAAACATAACAATATGCTAATAACTATTTGGAAAAAAAAATCCTTTATAATATTACTAAACTGAGAGTCAATTTAATCAGGAGGTGAAAAAGTAGCTGAAAACTATAAAACAGATGAAAGAAGTTAAAGAAAACAAATAAATGGAAACATATTCTGTGTTCATGGGTTGGAAGTCCAATGTCTTTTTTCATTTTACCCAAGGAACCACAAAAGGCTCCAAATAGCCAAAGAAATCTTGAGAAAATCTCTCACTAACTACTATGAAGACAACAATATGCAATATATTAATTATTATAACTCTACTACCAACCTGTTTTAAAACTCTGTTTTTTGTTATTTTTTTTTTCTCAAAAAAAAAAGAACAAAGGTGGAGGCAACAAGCTACCTAGTTTTAAAACACACTACATACTGACAGTAAGCAAAGCAGCATGTTGCTGGCAACCAGTGGCACAGATAGAGATCCCAGAAGAAAACACGCCATTGCAGTCCACTGACTTTCAATATAAGTAAAAAATACAATGGGAAAGGACAATCTCTGCAATAAATGGTGTAAGGAAAATTGGATAATCACACACAGATGAATGAAACTGTAATATTCTTTCACCTCATAAAGGAAAATTAATTCAAAATAGGTTAAAAATTTAAATACAATATCTAAAATTGTAAAATTAGAGAAGGGGCTGGGGATATAGCTCAGTGGCATAAGCACCTGTCTGGCAAGTGCAAGGTCCTGAATTCAAACCCCAGTGCCACACACACACACAAAAATTATTAGAGAAAGAACACAGAAGGAAAGCTCCACCATATTGGTCTGAGCAAGGATTCTTCTTTTTTAATGATCCCCAAATCACAGGAAACAAAACCAAAACTAGACAGCTATGACTGCATCAAATTAAAAAGCTTCTGTATAGCAAAACAATCAGTACAATGAAGAGACAACTTACAGAGTGGTACAAAATATTTGCAAACCATAGATTCAATAAGGAGCTAGTATCCAAAATATATAAAGAACTCAACTCAGTAGCAAGAAAACTAATAATCCTATTAAAGCTGGCATAATAATAATAAATCCTATTAAGGCTCTTGAATAGACATTGCTCAAAAGAAGACATACAAATAGCCAACTGACTTATGGAAAAATGCTCAATGTGACTAATCATCAAGGGAAAGCAAAATCACAATGAGAATCATGTCACATGTGATAGGATAGCTAACAGAAGCCTAGCCATAGGAGTGGTGCAGGCTGTGGCATAAAGGTGACTTGTATCTGTTGGTGGGCACGTGATTCGTACAGATATCCTCAAAAGCAGTATGGAGGCTCCTCCAAAAGCTAAGCAACCCTGCTTCTAGGGTTGAATATATATTCAAGAGTATTCAGAACAGTATTCTGAAGAGACTTCTGTATCCCATGTCCATTTGCATTATTCATAACAGCACAAATGTAGAATCATCTAGGTGTCTATGAACAGAGGAATGGGTGAGGAAAATGTGGTATTTATGGATAATAGACTACTAATCAGTACTTATTAAAAGGATAAAATTTTGTCACTTGCAATGACATAGATGAACCTGGAGGGCATTGTGTTAAGTGGCATAAATCAGGTACAGAAAGACAAATATTGAATTTGGAACCTAAAAAGTCAAACCTAAACAGTAAAAAAGTCAAACTCACAGAAGCAGAGAGTAGAATGATCTTTGCCAGGGGCTAGAGGCAAGGTGGGAGGAAATAGGGAGATATTTGTCCAAGGGTCCAAAGAGCCAGTTAGGAGGAGGAACAAGGTTTCAAGATCTTTCTACAGCATGGTATCTATAGCTAATAACATACGTTTCAAAATTGTTAAAAGAATACATCTTGAGTGTTCTTACCATAAAAATATAAGTATGTGAGGTGATAGATATGTTAATTAGCTGATGTAAGCATTTCACAATGCATACATACATCAAAACATCACATATAAGTTACTTGTTGTCAATGAAAAAAATATATACACAAGGTAGCTAAGATAATTGTACTACTAATATTTTTGGTTTATTGAAAGGGACAGTTGATGCCTTTTTTAAAAATTAATTTTACATGCCTATATCTGATAATCTGAACTACTTTGAAGATAACAATATTCAATATAACAGCCCTTGTTGATTTCCTATCATCTTGTTTTGAAATTCTGTATTGTTTTAAATGCTGTTTATAATTTTTTATTCTCTTTAAAATAAAAAGGAAAAACTAATCTTTTGAATAATTCTGTATTTTCATATATTAGATTTACTTTACTTTCCAAAAACATATAATAAGGCAAACACTTTTTACAAGACAAATAAAACCTGGAGTTTAATATATACAACCTTGACTTTTTAATTTCATTATGTAATAGGATGTCTCCTAAAATTGATCCATATTTTATATCAAATGCTCCTGGGCCTTCTAACTTTTCAAGCATGTAGTTAATAGCTGCAGTTTTTCCAACACCAGCCTCTCCTAAGGGAGAAACATGCATTAGGTTAGGTTTACATACCAGAGAATGATATATGTTAACATATTAAAACAAGTCTATAAGATTTTCCTTCTTTTGAGATTTACATGAAAAGTATGCTTTTGCTCTTCCCCTTTTTAAATGTGAGACGGGCTAAATCAAGGAGTTAATACGAACTTCTCTCCAATTATTTGAATTATTTGCATCTCTGACAAAAGAAGAGACTAGGAGCTAACTATTATTTTTGTTTAATGTTCATTTAAGACTATCACAAATGTTTTTACTTATCACACACCAGAAATACTACATGAAATGAAATTCCTTGAAACTTTTGGCTAACACCATCTGAGGGAAAAATTGATGATAAATTTTTTACTGAGTCAGAACAAGGACTCGTAACTATAATTCACTGGAGAGAAAAAAATAAGAATTTTAATAGAACAAATTACAGGCAAGATGTGGGTTGTCTGAGTCATACTGCTGGAAGTCTTGGAACACAGAAGTGGGAAAATGATACCACTGCTTCTGATGAGAGGCAGCATAGTTGGAGATGGGAAAAGGTAATGGTTGGAAACAAGCATTCAGGCAGGAAGAGCAGGAACTACACTGACTCTTGGTAATGCTAAAAGAAGGACACATTCTAGTGCTGAGCTGAGGAAACGTGTCAATTCAGCTAAACCAGCGCTGCTATCAGGGCCCTCTCAAGACCTGGACCACAGGTACAGAGGCCAGCCGTATTTATCCTACAGTTTTACTTCCAGAATTTGTCCTGAAGGTTAAAGACAAATGGCGGAGATCTGTGATATCCCACACTGGCCAACGTGGGGAAGTGGGCATTCCTAGACTGTTGGTAAGAATACAAACTGATATATTAGTCACCAAAACTTTTTAGGGCCTATTTTTCTCCTCTTAAAAATGACTAGGCCAAATAATCTCCAAACCACCTCTAACTCTGAAACTCCCCTTCCATGACATTTCTTATACCTGTGAGAAGCACAGGGCAGGAATTCTTTAAGAGGAGGCTTGTGAGGAAAGTCAGGCACACCGTGTCTCTAGTGGCAGTGTAATGAATGTACTCGCCGTACTCCGTGAGCCTCAGGATGTTCTCGCCAGACCCTTGAAGGTCTGCCAGCAATGAAGTACCTACATTAAAAATAGTTTTTTAAAATTTCAAAGGATCTAGGAAGAAGTATTACCTTAGTCTGCTAGCTACATGAGACTTTTTGGAAAAGTGTGCACATTACAAAACAATTTCCATGCAAATGGATTGCTCCATGTGCCTGTGGCTTTGCTGGTCTTAGAAATCATCCTTCATATATTTATTTGTTGCTTGTCTTTCATCTGAGAAGTGTGTATTCATCTCAGATGCCCATTTTGGATTGGGTTTCTTAATTCAGGGGTCTGATTTTTTTCAATTCTTTGTATGTTCTAGATATAAAAATTTTGTTTGAGGGACAATTGGCTAAGATTTTTTCCCACTCTGTGGGTTGTCTTTTCACTCTGTTGGTGGCTTTTTTTTTTTTTTTTTTTGCTGTGCAAAAGCTCTTTTATACGGTGAGGTCCCAGTTATTGATTCTTTGTATTATTTCCTGTGTGGTCTGGGTTTTGTTCATGAAATCTTTGCCTATACCTATGTCTTCAAGAATTCTGCCTATTCTCTCTTCCAGCAGATTTAGTGTTTCTGTTTTAATATTTAGGTCTTTGATCCATTTTGACTTGAGTTTAGTGCATGGTGATAGACATGGGTCTAGTTTCAGTCTTTGGCATGTGGAAAGCCAGTTTTTCCAGCACCATTTATTAAAGAGACTATTTTCCTTCCTATGAACATGGTTAGCTTCTTCACTGCGTATTAGAGAGATGCACATGAAAACAACACCAAGATTCCATCTCACCCCAGAAAGACTGGCTACCATCAAGAAATCAACTAATAACAAATCCTGGTGGGGCTGTGGGGAAAAGGAACCCTTCTCCACTATTGGTGGGAATGTAGATTGGTGCAACCACTGTGGAAATCAGGACAGTCCTCAGAAAACTAGGTTTAGAGGTCCCATTTGACTCAGCTATTCTCCTCTAGATAGTTTCCCAGAAGAATTAAAAACATACCACAGTGATCTATACACACCAATGTTTACAGCAGCACAGTTTGTAATAGCTAACTAAATCTTGGAAACAACCCAAATACCCATCAACCTAGGAATGGATAAAGAAGATGTGTGTGTGTGTGTGTGTGTGTGTGTGTGTTTTAATATAATGGAGTACTACCTAGCTGTAAAGAAGGATAAATTTGAGACCTTTTTAGGTAAATGGATGCACCTTGAGACCATACTCTTAAGTGAAATAAATTGGACACACATGTAAACATCACATTGTCTTCCTGGTGTGAGAAACTAAGAGAGTAAATAAGGATCAAAATGTACAATAGATATTGTGATATGGAAATAAATTGCTCAAAAGGAAAGAAGAACTGGGTAGTGAGCAATGAAGGAAGAGAAAAGGAAAAAAAGGATTTAAAAAGGATAAAATGGAAACAAAGCTTTGTAAATAAGGAGAGGGGCTGAAGGGAGGACAGGGTTTGGGAAAAAAGAGAAATCAAAATATATCATGTATGGGTATAAATTCCCTATGATGAATATGGTCAGTATGCATATCTAAAATGTACCAATAAACTTAATTTTAAGAAAAGAAATGTCCTTCATACTCTCAGCTGGTGAGTTTACTGCACATGTTCCCAAGTCTGTCCTGAGAAAACTCCATGGTTGCCCTATTGCCAGAGTTGCTAATCCACCTTCTCCTCAGGAAAGGCACTACTGTCCTCCTCCTCCCCTTCCTTGAGACTGAGGAAGCAACCTTCCCCCCCGCCCGGGGCTCTGGCCGCCTTTGGGAAGAGCCTCACTGCTTTGGTCCTCTTCTCACCACCACCTGGGCTCCTCCTTGTACTGGAATTTTCTACTGCACAAGTGTAAAGTGTGATGGCATCGCTAACCTTCACATTGTTTGAACCATATGAAATTGACATTTTTAAAACTAAAAAATAGTAGAATATAGACAATTTGATATGAAATTACACACACACACACACACACACACACACACACACAACCTTCCTGAATTCTGCAGCTTTCTTATAAATACTACCCTAGTTCTTTTCTGTACCACACAGCCAAAATTTTCAGGAGAGTCAAATAAACATAGCCTTTTTCATCATCTATTATTTCCTCTCTCTCTTTTTAAAAAAAATACAAATTAGTGGGCCAGCTAATACATTCACACAGTATGCGATTCAGAAGTTCACAAGGATACACAGGAAGCAGACTTTCTCATTCCTGAGTCCAGGCCATACGAGACTTTTTTTCTAGATGGAATTATCCAATTTAATAAATATCATACGGTTTTCACCAGTGCTCCAGTGATACAGATCCAGGATGCTTCCAGCCTTTCACTATTACAAATAAAGCCAACTTGCATGCTACACATGTCATTTCACATATATGGGGGGTTATTTCTTATAAGTAGAGGGCTGGGTCAGTATAAACTAGCATATGATTCATAATTTGGGAGGATTTGGACAAAATATTCTCCAATGATTGACAGCTTGTGTTTTCACATCTTTGCCAAAAGCATCAAATTTTTGATGCACAGAAAGATTATAGGTGAAAAATTATATCTAATTCTGATTTAATTTTGCATCTCTCATAAGTCAACTCTTTCTACATTTAAAAGATACTTATTTTTTCTGTGAACTACTTATTCTTGTTCTTTATATTTTTATTTACATTTTAAGGTGATTCTTGGGTTTTACAGATACTTTGTTGTAACATCAGCAAATAATGAAAATGAAACCATTTCTGCTCCTGATGCTGTATCTCTAACTTTTTCTTTTCTAATTGCATGGTGTCTCCAAATCAGCATTAAATTAAAACACTGCATTTTGAAGGAAATGTTTTAAGCACCTCACCTTATGCAGACTGTTTCTGTTGCTTATTTGCTTTCTTCATTGCTAGAAGATCTATTTGATTCTTTTTTCCAATTGACCGTGTCACTTCTTAGAAATAGTTTCCTACCATTTTCAGGTATTTTTCAAGCTTACTTTTTATAAACATAGTAAGCATGTGTGTCTTAAAATATATACTTGGTAATTTCAAACATTCAAATTTTGCTAATCTCTGGCTCTAATCTTGTTTCTGCTAATTATCTGAGTAAGAATGATTTGTAGGAATAATATAAGATAGCAACACAATTTATGATAGCTAGATCTTGGAAACCACATATATGTTCATCAATAGATTAATGGATAAGGGAATGTGATAAAATGTGCTATTTGTACACAATGGAGTACTACACTGCCATAAATAAAGACAACTTGAGGTATTCTTAGGTAAATGGGTGCAACTTGAGAACATACTGTTAAGTGAAATAAGTCAGACACACAAGCTCAAATGTCGCATGGTTTCTTTTATATAACACTATACATTCCCCCAAATTAATTATTCCAGTGTTTTTAAAATATTTCAATATATCCGCTAATTTGTTTCATTTATACTAACAATTTATCTTAGTTCATTGTAAAGAAAATTCATGTTATTATCTGTCTCTTTTTTGTAAGAATCTTGTTGGTTTATGTCTTGTACTGAGTAACTACTCTGAACATAACCCACACTGCAATAACTATTGTTGTTCTCTTATTATTTGGTTATGATTTTTTATCTTTTCATAAAAAAGAAAATTTACATTCATTAAATTTCTTAAACAGGTGCTCCCCTACTTGTGGTGGGGTTGCACCCAAATGAAGCCATGCTGAATGGAAGCTATCATAAGTCAGTGCCTTTTAGCACTCGTGACCTGCTGAGCATCACAGCTGGGGACAGCACTGCAGTGCTAGAGTCACGCACAGTTGTGCTTGCTGCTTGCACCAGAACTGCAAGAGGACCTCACTGCAGATCACTGGTGGGAAAAGACCCTGTCTCAAAATTCCAAGCACTTTGTACACTGAGTGTGTGTTACTTTTGCACCATAATAGACTTGCAAAATTGTAGGGTCAGGACCATCTGTGATTGGAAGCCTGATTGTTTTGTTTCTTCCAGAAATGTCTACTAAGCTCTCTCACTGTAAGAAGTTTCAATACTGAGAATAACAACACTTTAGCTGGGGATATAGCTCAGCGGTACAGCTCCTACCTGGCAATTACAAGGTCCTGAGTTCGATTCCTGGCACCAAAAAAAAAAAAAACAAAAAACAAAAAAAACCCCTAAATCATAAAACAACTTCCTAATTCTTTCCCTTCTGGGTATTTTCCCAGAAGATCTGAAAATATCATATCACAATGATATATGTGCACCCATGTTTACAGTAGCACAATTTGTCATAGTTGAATTGTGGAAACAACCCAAATGTCCATCCACTCAGGAATGGATTTAAAATATTGTGGTATTTTTATATAATGGAATATTATTCAGCTATAAAGAAAGATAAACTCGAGGCTTTTACAGGTAAATGGTCACAACTAGAGACCATTCTCGTAAGTGAAATAAATCAGACCTCCATGTGCAGGCAATGTATTGTCTCACTAGTATAAGAACCTGAAAGAGTGAATAAAAATTAGGAGGTATGATAGACATTGTGAAACAAAAGGAAAATGCTCAGAAGTAAAGAGCAACTGGGATGAGGGAAAAGAGAAAAGAAAGAAGGGGAAATGATGTATATACATATATGTATATATATATATATATATAAAATTATGTATATGTGTATATATATATATATACACACACACAGGATAGCTAACATAGTTGTACTACTGACTTCTATTGCTTTACTGAAAAGATCAGTTAATAGTTAATGATTAATTATTTGATCAATCTTGCATGTCTCTGTTTTCCTAAGAAACCACTTTGAAGATATCAATATATAATACAACAGCCATTGTTAATTTCCTACCACTTTGTCTGTAATTCAGTATTGCTTGTATTGTCCTTATGCTATTTTGTAAATGGATGTCTGTTTGTTAATATGTTTTCCTTCTTTTATTTTTAAAATAAATTTTAAAAAACACTTTGGCATGTGTGGATATCTGTCTAACTATGATTTTTTTCTAATTAGCAGTTTCCTTTATAGCCAAGGGTAAGTTCTTACATGGAAGGTTTTCCTTGTTTAAAAGTGGACCTTGTCATTTTCTACTTTCAGTAACCCCAGATAATTAAAACAATAAATGCTGCCAGTAGTAAGGCATGTAATGAGTTCCAGTTTTACAGTGTGTGCTGGACTCAACTGACCCTCCAATTTTCTCATAAAGTATTACTCAAAGGTTGGTTTTCGGGGCACCTCTTGCAAATGTAGATATGAACTGATCCCCACATAAACTTGCAACAAATCTAACATCAAAGTTGCTGACAACTACTTTTATAAGTAGAGTCCAGCACTTTTGAGAAGTTACAAGTATGAATATCATAGTTAACTTACCTTTTTGAGTTAGTGTTGCAACATTAGGAACTACATCTGACCAAGGAATGAATTCACATTGCTGTAGATCCAGAAAATACCCAAAGATAGACCGTTCACCAGTTGGTAGATTGATGGCTAAACAGTGAATAATAAATAAATCCAAGAAAAGGGTTCAGTTGTGAAGTGTATCACTAACTTTGTCTGAAAGGATAAGATTTTTGAGCTGGAAGGACAAATCAAACTTTACAAAATAAATTTGTCTTTTCCCCTATGATATTTGGTTGTATAAAAGCAAAATTTTATTAATATTTTATCCTTTTAATAATCCAGAAAACAAGGTTAATTATATAGTCTGATATCCTTTGAACTCTTACCCAAAAGTTTTGCATATTACCATGTGTTTGGATGCTATAAAATGCCAGCAATGTACTGGTTGTGGTCAAACCAATACATTAGAGAATTTTGACACATTTGTAAATAACACTTAGCTTCCTATTATAAAAGTGACACATTTCCTTAGCAGAAAATTCTGGAAAATATAGAATAAAAAGAAAAATAATTTAGTCATAATTTTATGGTAAGGAGATAGCAATGTTAATATTTAAAAAGGATAAATGCATAATAATGTTAACAATATATTTTATATTTTCAGTTTTAATCTTTCATTTTTTGATAGAGATATGATAAAAATCTTAGCATGATTTTGGAATTGTTAATTTTCTCTTGGAGTTCTATCAGAATCTGCTATTAAAGGGCGAAGTTGTTCCATTTGCACAAGTTCATGATCGTTTTACCTTTAATGTAGTATTCTTTATTTCTCTTTAGTCTTTTGCCAGAAATTTTACTTCATAACATTATTGCTACTCTACCTTCTTTATACACTGTGACCTTATTTTCACTTCCTGTATACTTTAAATTTATATACTGGTGTATACATTACATTAACAAATCTGAAGATTATGTGGTATTTCTGTGTGAACCACAGACCCCTCCCCTGCCATCTTGTTATTTTGTGCATGATTTTGATTTTATATATTTAATAAAAGGAATTATTTAGCTATAATTGATAGCTATATTAATTTGTTGAGCTATTCTACTGTTATGGTTGATATATTGTGTCAACTTGGGGAGTCTAGAGGTTTGGCTAAGTGACTCAGCAGTTCTGCATTTTGGGGTAAAAAGGACATGCCCTTACCCTTCTGGTATGTTGTTTATTGTGTTAATTTGAAAAGTTTAAAAAGTTAACTATGTGACTCAGAAGGGAGCCAGGGTGCTTACTTTGTATTCATCCTAAGCCTGTGCAAAGGAACGCACGCAGAGGGTATGGGTGTAGAGGACCACCCCCATCGCCTCAGAGCAGGTAGACTGCATAAAAAAAGGAATTAAAAAAAGACTGGCTGCTGGTTCTTCAGAGAAGCTCCGGTCTTCGCCTTCAGCTTGGTCATCTCCTGGCTTCTGGTGCAGTCTGTTTGGCTTCTGCCTGGGACTCTTCAGCCTTCTGGTGTTGGCTCTCTGGCCTTCGTCGTAGATTCTTCAACATTCCGTCGCAGACCCATCAGCCTCCTCATACGGACTTGCACGGACACTGCAGCGAGCTCCAGGCCAGGGGCTGGGCTCTTCAGTCTCCAGCTTGCAGACACCCTCTGCACGCTTCCTCATCCAGCTCTGTGGCTGACCATTGTAAGCCAAACTTGTAATTTCTTGTACATTTCTATATCTTGTGTTATATCTGTTTCTCTAGTAAACCCTGACTGATACATCTACCAAGATCTGTGCTCACCATGACTTTGTACTGGGTACCTTCCTTCCTACTGGGCATATTAGTCTTATTGATGTCTACCTCTTACGCAAGCGCTTTGGTGTTTGACAATTTCAGTCGCTGTATGCCTATATGAATTTCTGTTTTGATACCATTCTTAAATTATAGTTACTGATCATAATAATTTAGGCCTCCTCAGCAATATGAAGATATTACATTGTCTTTGACCTCTCTTGTTACTAAGAAACATTTCTCTGTCCCTCCAATTATCCTTCCTTTGTAGATCTTATCTTTTCTCTGATGGCTTTACAGACTTTTTTCTTGACATCTTTATAACTTCACTATGGAATGCCTATGTGCTTAATCTAAGGATGCATGCAATCCTGGAAAATTCTCCACTGACCCCTCTGGACTGTCTCAACCCACTCCCCCACTGCTCACCACTGCTTCTGTAACTTTTCCCCTTTAAGTATCAATGTACTAATTCTTTCCTTGGTGGTGCCCAGAGTAGAGTTTCTCCTGACTACTGAATTTCTCATTTGCATTACTATATTTTGATTTTCTGAAATGTCTACTTAGGTTTTTGTTCATAGCCATATGTTCTTTTTTCTACTTGCTTTTGCTTCAGAACTAGTCATCTTAAAATGGATGCTATTCCTTCATGCATATTTTTAGCAGAGGCCGAACACTTAGAGTATAATGTTCGGTCACAATAATTGGATAAGTATTAGGATGGGCCTATGGTTCAAATATGGCTTGTCTCCTCCTCCACTTTTGTTGGAATCTAGTTCCATCCTGAAGTGTTAGAAAGTTAAGAATGTAATTGGTGGTGTGTGACCCTGGGCCTGTGGGAGATAGGACTGGAGAAGGTCTCCATGGTAAAGCCCCTGTGATGGAATCTTAATGTCTTCCACATGACCTGGGGACACAGACATGCATGCTGCTCTGTGCCATTTGGGACTCTGTCAGCAAGAAAGGCCATCATCAGATTCGAACCCTTGACCTCGAGCCTCCAGAACCAAAAGCCAAACCTCTTTGCTTTTATTATCTGTCCAGCGTGTGATACTGTGTAAACAGCATCAGAAAATGGACTAAACTGGGTGATTCTGTTGGTACCCTTTTAATATTAATTTTCCCTTTGTGTTTATAGTTTTCGTTTGCAAGCTGATTATGAGTAGGATATTCTCGGCTCTCCTTTCTTTTGCTGTTTTTATTTCTAGTCTGGTGGTTCTCACAGCTTAATGAAGCTTCCGCCAGTCTCTTTTTTCTGTACCTCAGTCCTAACCACGGTTTTTATACTGGAATCTCAGATGACAAAGCAAACTTTCATATTCATGGCTGGGGATATACAGCTCAGCGGTACAACACCTGCCTGGCAAGTGCAAGGTTGTGAGTTTGATTCCCAGTACCACAAAAAAATTCATATTCACAATTTTAAGATAAATCATTTAACATAATGTAGAATTCCATTAACTTGCTTTTAGATTCATGGGGAGAATAAATATAGCTTGAGGAGTGTTTGCCTGACAAATCATAACTGTTTATTTACCTTTAAGAGTCAAGAGGCATCTAATTAAGTTATTAACTTCAATAGCAAGTTAACATGCAATGCTTTGAGATTAAAAGTTAATTTATATGGGAAATAACATAAAACTTTTGATGTGCAGACTTTGTATGTGTGTATGTGTAGCTATTTTTGACTGGTGGGGACAGAAGGCAGGGCCTCCCCCTGCTGCTCTGGGTGTCCCGTGTGAACTGTTTGCAAACAACCTCAAAGGACATAATGAGAGTTACAAGAGACAAACCAGGATTTGCATTTTTGGTGTTGGTATTTCTAGCTCTCATCTTTACTTAGCAAGCTTCTTCTCAATATGTTAATATTTTGTCTCTTTTTGATACCTGCATCAAAACTCTTGATCTGTTCAAATGTCTAATCAGTAGCAGCTGATTGGGAAGGCTGAAAAGGGGGTTTGGGCCTGAGTTCAAGACATTTGCATAGTTCAGGATTTATTACCATAGAGTTAGCACTGAACTGTTTCACGGTACTGGGAGAGATTTCATGTTAGAATTGCCTTGAAAAGCTTAAATATAAGGCAATCCATGACTTTATATAATAAGTTAGAATTTTTTAGAAAAGAAACATAAGACTAGTACTCTGTTCTCCAGAAGCTTCTGCAGTATGGTGGTACAGAAGGTCTGGTCCAACTGCACAGCCATGGCTAGGGGTTCAGGGCACTGTTTCAGTCCTCTGCTTCACTAGTGTTCTAGGTTGTGTTCCACCTAGAACCACGGGGAATTGCCACCTTCTTCAGACTTCTTTCACTGGAGTGAAGGTTCTGGTGTTCTTATTACCTCTTTTTTTGCCTTTAACCTTCATGCTTTCCAAGATGCATGATAGTGAGGTCCCCCAAGAACTTACCTACTTGTGAAATGTTTTCAAATAATTTATGAACAAAGTTGTCAAAACTATAGGTTACATCTGCAAGACAATCAGGCTCAAAAGCTGAACAAAATATAATGTCATCTTCATGTTCATCTTCACGTTTTAAAATTCCCCCAAACGCCCAAGTAAATGCAAACACAAAAAGCTTCTGCAACACCAGCACCAATTTATCAGGATTTTTCTCCAGATACCATGTGCTTTTATCCCTGAGGTAGAGATAAGTGGAAGGGTGAAGGTTAAATGTTTTAAAAGCAGCTCAAAAATGTATCTGAATATCATGCCAACATTTCATGGTTAAAAACTATAGTACATTTCAGTACTGAGAGCAAAGCTTCACTGTTAATATACAACTTCCCCTTTGATAAGTCATTTAAATTAGTTACTATTTTTGAAATATCACAGGCATAAGAAATTTATAGTTGACTTTCATTTAATGTATACCTTTAATATATTTTAATTTATTACATGAAAATATATACTTTATACTTTCATTTAATATATATATACATATCTTTATAATATACTTTTACTTAAGAAGAGTGTTTGAGGAGTATTTGCCTGACAAATCACAACTGTTTATTTACCTTTAAGAGTCAAGAGGCATCTAATTAAGTTATTAACTTCAAAAGCAAGTTAACATGCAGTGTTCTGAGATTAAAAGTTAATTTCTGTGGGAAATAACATAAACTTTTGATGTGCAGACTTTGCATGTGTGTACGTGTAGTTCTTTTTCACTGCTGGGGAGAGAAGGCAGGGTGGAGAGTTTACTTGTCATTTGGGAGAGGCTCTGCTAGCTTCACTGTATGCGCAGGCTGTAAATGAATAGGTATTCACTCTGTGTGCGCTCAGCCAGGTCCTAGATATGTCTGGTCCAGCTAGACCTGGCTCAGCCCGGCTGAAGCCATGCAGTGCAGCTCTGGGAATCTCTTCTAGTCCCTATCAACCCAGATCACTCCTAACTGATGCAACTCCAGTTCCACAGTGATGGGACTGCTGCTCACGGGGCTGAAAAAGGGGTTTGGGCCTGAGTTCAAGACATCTGCATAGTTCAGGATTTATTACCAGAGTTAGCACTGAGCTGCAATTTATTAGAGGCATTCACACACAGACATTCACACACTTTTATCTGGAATTTCTAGTGTGTGCTAAGGGCAGAGCAAATTCATATCAGTTTTATTCCTTTCTCAAATATGCATAGAGGCTGGACCAACGTATTCATGTAATTCCCACTGCTTTAAATCAGCATAAAAATTTGGCACCCTTGCATCACTTATACAGAAGACTCTGAATAAAATACATTAAGTGTACAGTAATTTGTTGTTAGTGTTAGGGTTAGGCTTACTGACAAGAGATCCTGGGAGTATTTCAGGGCTTGGTGCCTAGCAGTACCAAAATATGTTGCTTAAAGGAACATCACTGACCTGCTCTCTGTGGCCTTCAATTTGACGGAAACTTTCACAGAATTTGCCTTCTTACTTGAAGAGTTGTTCAAATCGCCACCTTAAAAAGGAACAAGCATTTTTGCACAATTAGCAACAGACCTAAGACCTAGGTGGTGACTAATGAGCCTCAGCTGCAGCCCAGTTTGGCGAAACATCACAGGAGAATGTCTGCCTCAATAGTTCTCTCGGCTATTCCTACCCTGCCCCTGTTCTGCTTAAGTCACCCATTTTGCAGAGCAACACACAGAGTAAATCAATGTTTATTCTTTTCTTAGCGTATTTTCCTCAATATTTGTTCTCTTAATATTAAAACATACTTCTTGTAAAAGAGTTAGAAAATATAAAAAAATACAAAAGAAAAAAATCACTCATAATTCCATCACCCACAGAAAATAACCATTTAAATGTTAATGCATTTCTCTATGTTCTGTTATATACTTATAAATTATATAAATACATATTTTAAATTTAAATAAAAAATTAAAGAAGCTGGTGGTTTTGCCTTCCTTTTTTAATTTTGGCCTGTCTCATATCATTCTAAATTCTTGAAAACATGATGTTGTTGTACTATCATTTATTAAGCCGTTATTCCACTATTAGAATGCACATTATTGTTTTTGTGATTATATAAATAACTCTGATATGTGTAAATCTCATTGTGAGTGTCTTCTTTGTAACAAATTTCTAAAATAAAAGGTACTAAAAAATAAAATGGGAATTACTAAGGCAGAGTATACTAATATTCTTGTCATACATTGCCAAATACCTCACTAAAAAAGGGAGCATCCATGCATCTTCAATTTCATTCTGTGAAAGTTTATGCTACAGCACATTCTAGCCATCAATGTGCTTTATATCAAAAAATTCTTTGCTTATTAGATAGAAAATTTATCTTACTTTCAAAGAATTTTCTGGTCATTATTTGTCAGATTAAATATTTCTTAAAACATATTGGAAATTTTAGTGTGTGTACAAAAGTTACTTATATAACTTCTATACCTGTCCCCTCATACCCTATCCCCAGCCAATTTACTACAAAGTCTCAGAACAACTCATTGCGGAACACAGAAGTGGGATATCAGGAATGGTACTAGATATCTGGAGGTTAGAGAAAGTCTTGCAAAATTTGGAGGAGTAACAATTTTAAGTTACATAAAAATATATAACTTACCATTGTAATCATTTTAAGTGTTAAGTTTGGTGGCACTAATGATTTAAAGTATAAAAAAGTTGAGTAGAACTAACAAGTTAATTTAACAGATATAAAGGATATAAATCAATGTACACTGACAATGAATGACTAGAAATTGAATTTATAAAATATCACTATAATAAGCAGATTGGTAATCTAGTTAAACTTTAGCAGCCCCTCTTAGAAGGCTCCTAGGGAGCTCCTGCAGCTGTAGGGCAAAAAGGCTCAGTGAGACCAACAGGGTGGCTGAGCTTCACAGAAAATTACACAAGTAACCCTGCACTTAAAGGAGGCCATGGAGCAAATACTGCTCCAGATTTTAACCCCAGACATCTCTCAGCTCTGCAGAAAAGGTTCAGCGGTGGCTCTCTCACCCAGAGCTGACAATAAGGGAAACCATGACTGAACAGGGTTCACTGACAGTGATGGAGACTGTAGGGCCCCGCGATGATCATGGCCCAGAGCGGCTCTTGTCCTCCAGAAACCAGCAAGATGCAGCCAGAGGAGGAGGAAAGAAGTGATTCTCAGTGTTCTCAGAATGGTTAATGAAAAATACAGCATTCTCAGGTTAAAATGTATAGGGGGGCAACAAGGTTCCATAGCTCATATCACAAGGAGAAATCAGTGATAAGAGAACAGGAAGTTAAGGAAAGTTGCTCCAGTAAATGTCATGTCCCTAATTTCCAGGCCTAACTAGCTTTCAGTCCCAGAACCCACTGAAGAGAAAGGTGTGGGGGGCTGGGGATTTAGCTCAGCAGCACAGTGCCTGCCTGGCAATCGCAAGGTTGTGAGTTCGATTCCCAGTACCAGAAAAAAAAAAAAAAAAAAAAGAAGGTGTGATCTTCTGTGATAACATGGCAAGTTTTTACACTGATCTTTCCCTAGGGAAAACTGCAGAAATTTACGTGGGCTGCTCACTCTAGGAAAGAGGAATATTCAGTCATATAAGATATAGGGAAAAGGGAATATGGAATTCTGACCAAACTGCAGCTTAACAGAGCCCACTGGGACCTCCTCACCTGCTGGCTACTTTCCTGATCCCCGGATACTTAATGGGGCCTCACATACTTAATCATTAAGCCATACTGGGCCCTTAGCCTGTTGGATAACAGCTATCACAATGGGAAAGGTCAAATGGAAGTCTCTGAAATTGCCTCCCTTGCCTGCTAAGATAGTAACTCAAACACAACATCACATACCAAGGGAAAGGAAATGGCAGTTCCCGTCAATTGTTTCTTCATATAGTTTGTCTCTGTTTCTCTGTCTCTATCTCTATGATGTGTATATATCTATACACATAATCACTATGTTATTACCCTAAGTAATAACTACTCTTCTTGTTGCTTAACATAATTTTTATCTTAAAATAAATTCTGGATGATGCTAAAGTTGGTAATATAGCTTTTTTTGGTTCACATTTACATTGTGTTATGTTTTTTCAATTCTTTATTTTAACCATTCTATATCAATTTTTGTCATAAAAGTTTTATAGATATATAATTCATATATCATAAAATTTACCCCTTTAAAATGAATAACTCAATGTTTTCTGCTATATTCACAAAAGTACACATGTACAGAGCCTGCTTTACAGTGAGCCTAGCTAGGTGAAGGGTATTCAGTGTATCTCTGGCCTAAAATATTTTCAACTAGTGATGCATTTATTTAGGTATAAGCCTACTGTAAACTGAGGAAAGTCTGTGTATTGCATTCTTGAAAAATGCCAAATTTTAGGGGAGAGATGAAAACTGTAAGTAAGTTAAATAGAAATGATAGAAACAAAACCACAGTATCAGAATGAGAATGCTTCTGATGATTTACAGCACCGGAGGAAAGAATCAGTGACTTGAAAATAAGTCAGTAGAAATTGTCCAGGCTGAAGTGTATAAAGAAAAACAAAGAAACCCACAATCAAACCAACAGAGGGTTCAAGGGCTGTGGGACAACAGGTCAATGTAACACTTCCAGGTGTGGGGTTTTACTTTCTACCTGTTACTAACCTAGGGTCCTATTCAATCTTAGGACTCTTTCTAATTTGATGAAAGCCTGGGAATCATATCTTAAAAACTTCTTCATTTTAAAGATTTCTTTCTAGAGTTTTTATTATACAAATGCTAATCTTCCAACTTCCAAATATCTTTCAGCTACATACACACACTCATTTATGTACTACCTAGATGAACATATTTAGTGCATGTAACTTTTTATCTCCAGCCTTTTCAGACACACTCTGAAAAAATTCCTTGGCTGCTCCATCTCTCTGCTGTGCTATTGGGGAAGCCAATCCAACTTTCCACCCACTTATTGTGTTCTTTTATAACAGTTATTTAGTTTTTACTCCTGACCTCTAGTACATCTATGTTTAACTACCTCTTGCTTAGTTTCCAGCATCCATTTCCTGCCTGGCAGCTTTGGCAAGCTGCCCTGTGTGCATCTGGGAGGGCATGCACAGCCTTCACTGCTAGGGGGTTTCTCTTTCTTTTAATCATGTAGGCCTTAAGGTCTGAAGGGAGCTGGCAGGAGGAAATTGTTTTTACCTGCTCCCTACCCTAGTGAGGCTTTTTGCCACATGATGTTTTGTCAATGGCCCTTGCTGTTCTCTGGTGTGCCAAGTGAAGAGGGAAGAGCTGTGGCTCCCTCAGAGCCTGGAGGAGGTAAAGGGAGGAACCTCCAATTGCCTACCTTGTCTCCATGCATGGATTTCAGCTCTTCTGTTCAAGGCTGCCATTTTCTTCTTTGGGGTCTGGGGCTTAAGGCACCTCAGGAACTTCTCTCAATTTCTCTATTAATTTGATGAGTCCCAAACTGGGTTTATGAGAGAGCTAGGAGCCTGTGCTAGTTTGCTACTTTATCAAGAATTGCACGGAACCATTATCCAGATTCCAGAGACCAAGTCTCTGACCACCATACTATACTGGTTTCTAAATCCGCTGGTTTCTCCCTTATGTTTTACTGCTTTCCATGCTTATGCCTTTGCGTGATTATGGGTTAAACCTAGAATTCTGCACAGCCTTAATACTTCTAACTTTAAGAATCCTTTAAACACACTATATTCTTCTCTATTAGAGATATCTAAAGGTTCTTTACATGCATTTTTCTTGTGACACTTTAACACTTATGCTATTAATACTTTTATTGATGCAGTCCTCTATAAAAGGTATTGAATTTGTTTATATGCATGCCTACAGTTGATGCAAATAATCAGAAAATCGCTGACCTCCCTTTATTTTTCCTTTAGAAAATCTAATAGAAGGTGATAAATTGCTATTGACTAGTTAAGATATAGTATCATTAATATGACACAGAGAAGGAACTCACTTTGTCCAAATCCTCCGTTTTTACTCATAAATTCAAAGAAAGCATCAAGAATTCTGCAGAGGGTTATGATGATTGTTACATCTTGGATAGGATAAGCCAGAAATTTCTCATGCTTCTTTATAAATTGTAGCCCACTGGCGACACTATTTTTAATCATGAATTCAAGACAGTCTACTCCTGATTGACTTATTATTTTAGATGTTTTCAAAAGCCATGACTTAACATAAGGTTCCCATCCCAGATCAACAGGATCCTATAATATAAAGCACAAGAAAATTTTATGTGAATAGAAATATGGGCTCCTACTTTCTATCTAATTATCTCACCACAGCCCCTGTCAAATATGACTTAGAATTATGATAAATTAAAGGGAAAAAGAAAAAATGGTCCAAGAAGTTACCATTCTCCAGAACAACTTGTGATTTTTTTAACCGTGGATTTGGAAGAGGGCAGGTGCTTGGGGAGGGTATGTGGGATGTGGAGGCTGTTGGCATATGCGTGAGGAAGTTCTCTCCCTGAAGTGCCTGGACTTCTTGGCCTCCTTCTCACATTCACGTAAGCAGGTGAGAGCCTAGCGTCAATCATGGCTAATGATTAACCTCAGATATGGAAAAATGCTTATTTCTGCAGTGTCCTCTCCCCTCTCACTGTTGTTGTGATGGATTGACAATGGGTAGTCAACTTGTAACACCCAGCTGAAATGAACCAGCATGGTTCTTGGTGTGGGAGGCCCACCTGAGGATTATTGCTGGCAGCATAAGAAGCAGAACTGGAAAAGAAGAAGAGAAGCTGTAGGGAGCTGTTTGTTGTCCTGGAGGAGCTTGTTATGATGGCTTTCCTGCTATGAATATGGCTATTCTCAATGCTGAAGGAGCTCGGGATCTTGTTACTGCTGGGAATGGATAGCATCACAACATCATTTCCTGGCTCCAGAGGGGAAGATGGTACACTGTTCAATGTCCTGGAGAAGCTTGTCACACTGGCTTTCCAGACATGAACACGGCTGTTCTCTTGTTGGAGGAGCTCGGGAACTTGCTGATGCTGAGGATGGCTGTGGTAATTTTCAGGGAGCTCTGGTTCTTAATTTGGGCATTGCTTCCTGGCTCCAGTGCAGATCCCTCAGCCTGCTAGCACAGATCTTTCATCCCGCTGGCACAGACTTTTTAGCTTCCACCACTGACCTTTGGACCTTCCCAGTTCAGGTCCTTGAAACAGGCCTGCATGAGGCATTGTTGTGGGCTCTAGGCCTCCAATCGGACTCATGAGGGGCATCGTTATGGGCTCTAAGCCTTCAGCTGGACTCCTGTAGGACATTGCCATGGGATCCAGGTCCTCAGCTGGATTCTTCTGCTCTTTAGTGTGTGGACAGATTTCCTGCACTCTCTTTGCATATGACTCTTTGGGTGACTATTATAAAATAATCTTATAAATTAAGTGTCCTATATTGTATTGTCTTCCTTGTAAATCCCAGACTACAACATTTGTCTGGGTTCCAAGAGTCCTAAAATCAGAAAAGGGCTGGGAACAATCTTTTCTCTACTGGAAAAATACTTCACACCAGCAAGTCTAATTGAAAGCACTACTTGCAGTTGTGGAAACATGGACACTCCAATTTCTGAACTAAATGTTACTATGAGGAGTAATTACATTCACGTTCAAGACTGGATTGTGAGGCTTTGGAAACATAAAGCTCCTGAGCCACTGGAAACACTGCTAGACCCAGGTTGTAAAAATAAAATAAACATTACAATATTGCACATCATGGCTAGTTACTACCCTAAACAACTTTCCTTGTTAAGAAATTTATTTTTGAAACTCACCATATACACCATTGCACACCGGCTGATAGTAGCAGGACTGGCCTGGGTGAGACTATCCACTTCAAAAATCACTCGTATTTTATTAGTTAATGCTATTCTCTCACTATTTGCTAGGCACAGTGTTCTGGTATCATCTAGCACAGAGTTTAGATTTTCTACCCACAAGGTGTCCACTGGACCATCTAAGATAATCCACTGCCAATCAAAATCTGCAGAGAAAAATATTTTAATGTAACTGATTATAAAGTCAAACTTCTTTCTTACAATATTAGAAATTTTCTATTTTATTTACAGAATATTTTCTAAGATGAAAAGTGATATCCTACACAACACTACAATGAGTGTTTATATATAGTCTCTAGTAGTTATTAAAAGTAAGTAAATATACATACTTATAACTCTTTAAGTACTATTTAGACATTCTTAGTTAAACTGGATAAGTCACCCTTAAAATTTAGATAAGAAAATTTTATAATTTTATCTTTTTCATAATAGTATTACTTGTGAGTCTTCCCCTCCACTTAAATTTTTAGATATGCTGTTCCTGGAAAAGAGCAAAAAGAAATAGTTGACCTTTGAAGAAATATCAAATAGACAAAGTTTAGTGTTTGCCATACTTGGAACCCATTTACTCCTGTTTCCGCATGGTTTCAGTCTGTTTACTATTATGACAAAATACCTTAGACTGAGGGTATCTTAGAATGATAGAACTGCAGCTCTCACATGTTTGGATCAAGGAACCGGCAAGTTCGGGATCTAGTGAGGGCCACCCTGGGCACAGAAGGGTCCTTGCACGGTGGAAGGGCTGATGGGCCTCTGTTGCACTTCTTCTATTACAAGAGCATTAATCGTGCTCATGAGGGCAAAGCCCTCATGACCTAATCACTTTCCCCAAAGCCTTACTTACTAATAGCATTAACTTGAGGATTAAAATTTAAACATATGAATTTGGGGTCAGGGTCGGGGTGGGGGAATATAAATATTTAAATAATAACACATTCTACACCTACCATCGTGATCTATCATTTTAGAAAATCTACTGGTCATGATAGGGGAGAGGTGAATAGGCTGATATTCACACAGACAATAGCTAGCCACCTAGAAAGACACTAAGGTATTCCAGAAGAGTCCAAAAGTACAGCTAGAATCCATGTAGCTGCCACTGCTAAGATGAGCTTGGGCTGACTGAAATAGCTGCACTACAGATTGTCCTAAAACTTCATAAAGAACATTCATATGCCCAATCATTATATTCTCCCTAAAATAGCATACAAAAATCCAGGGACAGAGAAACAGCAGCAGAAGTCTCTGTTAAAGTCTGGATCATACTGTGCTACAAGTGGGTGTGGTCACAGGAGGTTCACCCCAGAGCAGGGGAAGCAGCAGCAGTTTTGGACCAGAGACCCTGTCATACACACGTTTGATCCCCTGGCAAGTAACAAGGTAACTATAATCTATCAGAATGCATTTCATTTCAGACAAGTCTACCTGAGCTATAGAATTTGGCCTGGAAATGTACAGATGATGTGGAGTCCCACTTCAGCAACAATGCTACTGCAGGTTGCTAGTGCTGCTTCTTAAATCATTGTTTATTTCTACCTAATGGTTCTCATGAGGGACTAATGGTCATTTATAAAGTACAAAGCTATTTATACCCTAGTATTTATATATCATAATAACATAGTTTATACTATAACATATAGTAATGTATACAAATTTTAAACAAATACATGAGAAAAAGAATTTCACAAGACCAACTATCACTAATCAAAAACTGTACTTACAGCTCATTTGGTTCAAAACTGTACTTACAGCTCATTTGGTTCAAAGTTTGTCTTCTATATTAATTAATCAATCCACTTTCTGGAATTTAATAATAATACTTACTATAATTTTCTTGAATTTTAACATCTTTTTCTGCCTCCTTCACAAAAATACTTTCATCGATATCTGCTGTATCAGAGGCATCAAGTTGAAAAGTCTAAAATATGTAATCAATAAAATTTAAATTTTTTATTTGATAATATCTTCCAACCACAATGAATGGTATTTAATATGATTTCTTGAGAGATAAAAATATGAATAGCAGAAGGTTCTGTGGCTGAAAAAGCCAACACACAGCAAGTATAACGTAACACACTTATAACTACTTACAACATACTTCTTTTTGGAAAATTACTTCACATTAGTGTTTTTCTCTGGCAAAGATGGTACATGCTTGTTGTATAATAGTCAAACAATACAACATAATACAAGGAAGACGGCAATAGTTCTTGGAATTTCTACCAGCTATAGACAACCACCACTGACATTTTGGTACATACTTTCTATGCTTTCTTTGTTATCAATTCTTAAATTTGAAGGTACATAAGAATTACCTGGAGTTTGTTAAATTGCACATTCTAAGACCTCATCTTTGGAGAGTCTACCTGAAGAGATTTGGAAGGAAACCCAGGAATTTCTATTTAATATGCACCCCAGGTAATTCTAATAAAGCTCTCTCACCTCCCTTTAGAAATTCTCATTTATGCATATGGTTAAATTTTAATTATCAGGAGAGGGACTTAGTTATACATTTTCCCAACAGAGTTGACTGGCATGTCAGCAGCTGGCTGGCACTGGCTTTCTTTACCACCAAGAGGGGTAGGGAGAATGCTATCACTAGGGACATGCTAGGGTCCCTACAGGCTCTGAGGAGAGAGGTTGGATCAGCTGCTGCTGGTCACTGGCCTTGTCAGAAGGTCAGTGAGTGCCTGGCTATTTCCGCTACTATTCTCATTACAAAAGTCTGAAGTTATCACCCTTGGACATAAGTTATTACACCTTAGTTCTTTTTTTCCCCTTTAGGTGGACAATTTTTTAAATGTGGAGATTGTGGGTAAAGATTAGATATATGTTATCTTAATTAAAATATATTTTATTAAGTTTCTTCCCAAAAGTTTGTGGCAATGACAATCCTGCCAACAAGGTATAAGAATGAATGTTTTGTCATCCTTGCTAATACTAAATGTGTTCACTATCTCAATTCTCAGGTGTTAAAGATCTGGTGAGGAACAAATATGCTTCTCATTGTTATAATTTTTATTTCTTTTATAATGAGCCTAGGCATCTTTTCATATATCTATTGGTAATTTGTATTTGTTCTATCAGCTCACTATTTTTTTGCACAGTTTTTCACTTCCTTATTTTGTTGTTCAAGATTCTTACCCATTTAAAAGACTTTTTATATATAATAATAATTCATCACCTATAAATGTTGTAAACATTTTCTTCTAGATTGTGGTTTGTTTTGACTTTATTCATTGTAACTTTATTCATTTATTTACATAAATATGTAAGTATGAAAATGTAAAAACATTTTCATATTTATTCTCTACTTCTTTCATCTTTTTGCTTACAATATTTGGGTGTCTAGTCTAAGTTAAGGGTATTCTAACTCTAAAAATATGTTCTTAAATACTATATTTTTACATGTAGATTGTTAATTCACCTGGAATTTTATTTCTGTTCAGGGAGAAAGATTCAGAGATCTTCCCGTATTTTCACATAGCACAGTGGAAAATTTTAGGGTGTTAAATATAGGATATTTTTCTCACTGATCAGCAACATTGCTTTAGGAAATATTACTTTAGTAATATTACCAACAGACACATGAAAAGACAGAGGCTGAATAATATGTTCCAGTGACTGTGCCCTCACAGAGACACCAGCTTTACAGCTCTCCATGTGCCCAACTACCTTTGCTGGAATTATAGAACCCAGTTGAGAGAGCACAGAGCCTTGTTTTTGTAGAAAAAAAGACACATTAAAGAGAGGGCAGGAATGAAAGAGTTTTCCTTCTCCAACTTAAAGCAGGTACATGGAAAGAAACACCTCCTGCCTGGAGGAGGGAGATGGAATTAACTCTAGACTTTAGACTTGAAACCCATTTCCAGATGTTCACAATGAAACACAGTGCCAGACGGCTCCACTCATGCCAGCAAGTGGGGCAGAAGAGCAGGAACATGACTGTGGCTTGGAACTCAGTGCAACTGACTAAGCCTGATATTGGCAGGATCCTAGTGGTTATGTTCCAGGTGAGTGCCCAAGACAGAGCCCTGGGACTCATTCAGAACAAGGTAAAGACCCACAGCCCCAGTCAATCCAACTTGTATGCTGGCCAGCATCACCTATGGCTAGTGGCAGTGGTCTCTGGTGAGTCTCCCACAGTAGCAGGTAGCCCACCATATTGTGGGCTGTGGGCTTCATGGGTTTGCCTACTCCACTGCACCCCTCCTCCAAACCTTAGCCCTAACCTTAACCCTAACCCTAATCATAACCCGTCTTTTTGTCTAGAGCCCAGAGGTTCAATAGGCCTTCTGAGTCTTCAAGGAAGTCCTGCTCATGTCCCCTGCATGGAGACTCCTAACCCCAAATCAATATGCCTTCTTCCTGACTGAGAGACAGGAAGTGGCTTTGGGGGTTCTTATCCAGTCCATGGGGCCTAGCCATCAGCCAATAGCCTATTTAAGCACAGAACTGTACCCTATGGCCAGAGGATGGCCAGGCTGTGTAGGGGCATATTAACTGCTGAGGCCCATAAGCTCACCTAGAGAAGGACTCTCATGATCAAGTTCCCCCATGACCTTAGGAGACTTCTTAATGCCCCAGTCTACCCTTGGTTTCTGATATCCAGATTCTAAAATATCAGATTCTCTTGTAAAAGAACTAGATATAAGCACCGAGATCTGTCAAAGTGTTAATCCCACCACCATCCTGCCTGATCCTTGAGAGCTGGCAGAAAGTGAACACAATTGTACAAAGGTTCTGATCCACAGCCACAGTTAGGGCAAGATTATCTAATCAGCTTCTTAGTGAGCCAGAAGATGAGCCGCTCACCGATGGCAGTTCCTTTATACAAAAGACTTTAAAAGGTAGGCTCTACAGTGATTGGCTGTATGGAAATACTAGAGTCAGGTCCATTACTTCACAATGCAGGCACTCAAAAGGCAGAGCTGATGTTTCTCGCCTGAGCACTGGCACTGACAAGAGATAAGACAGTAAGCATCTATACTGCCTCTAAGTATGCATTTCATGTGGTGCATGCTCATGCCACTGTCTGAGGGCCTGCTAACCTCTAACAGATCTCCCATGAAACATGCCTCAGAGATCCTACAACTCATTTGGGCTGCCCACATGCCTCAAGGAGTGGCAGTTATTAACTTCACAGGACAGCAGGGATGAACAGACCCTACTGTTATGGACAACAGAAAGGCTGATGAGGAGGCAAAGGTGGTTGCTTCTGGGTAGCTAGTGTGTCCCCTCTTATGGTCCACTGCCTACCAGCCTGCCTATCTATTCTGATAAAGAAATTCTATATGCCAAGAGTCATAGATGGGCCATTAATTCTGAAGGATGGTGGGCCACCCCTAACGGTCACTTTTTCTACCAACAGGCTTGGCATAGAAAGTAATTAAGAGTATCCATGACTTGTCACTTTGGTTTTTCTGTTTGTTTGTTTTTTGAAAAGAGGCAATAAAAGGAGTTTTTTTTTTTTTTTTTTAATTCAAAGGTCTAACTGGATAAGTAGATTTGTTTACAATCATTCTTGTGAAATACTTTTTTTTTTTTAAATACAACCAACTTCTTTGCAAATAGCAGACGCATACCTCAACTATGATGGCCCTAGTTTTTGGTGGATAATGTACACAATTAGGCAGAAATAGGCAATCTCACACTGGTAGACTATCAAATTCTGAGTCAAAACTCTGTTTGTGACCCCCATTTCTTGATCGATTTCTGTTACCACTTTGTCTTCTACCATCTTGTGGACTTCCTGAGAGACTTCCCTGTTGACTCTGTCTATTTGACCGGCCACCAGATCGGCCACCTGAGTGGCCTGACGGGTCAGATCTGCCACTTGACCAGCCACTCTTCTGTCTGGAATTAGAAGATGTGTTTCCATCATAATATTCTTCAATTTCAGGTAATTTGGCTGGCACTGAGAGTATCCAGTCTGAATCATGCCACTCTGCCTGTAACCTTTCTGACTCAGTTGTGGGAACATCAAAGCAAACACCCATATTTCCTTTTAGGAGGCCCATTCTGGTGCTTTGGGATACTGCATTACTACTCAGCTTTCTGTTAAGTTCTTTCCAAGCACAGCTGACATCCCGTATTTCTTCTGGGCTCCCAGGGTCATGGTCACAAACCCTTATCAGAGGTGATCAAAGAACGTGGTTCAAAGCTTGATGCACCAGAAATGTGGGCTAATGCTGCAGCCAAGGCATCCGCTGTCCCTTTCTCTTCTATCAGTCTCTGAGCTGATGGTCAGAAAAAATCAACAGCAGCATAAGAAACAGAAGCCAGAGACCTGATGGCATCCATGCTTTTAGATTTAACTAAATCCATCGTAGAAGGAACACCTACACGTTTAAAAGTAATTCCTGCTTTTTGTTCCACATATCTTAGTTGACCTCTTTGTCTCGGTTGATAAAAACATATGCAAATCCCTGTTCGGCCAGCTCTCCCTGTGCATCCAGAGCCATGAATATAGGACTCAGCATCCTGTGGAGAAGAACTCTGAATCACCAGGTCAACCTCACGAATGTCCAAACCACGGGCAGCCACATTGGTGGCCACCAAAACTTTAAAACTACCTTCTCTGAAGTCTTTCAGTGTAATTTCTCTTTGTGACTGTGCAATGTCCCCATGTAAACACTGGACATTCTGTTTTATGTGTGGATTCACAGCCATTTCAGTTACGTTATTCTTGATCTCACAGAAGATGATGGCCCTTCCTTCAGATCCACTGTAGACTTGCAGGACGTCTCTGATAACTGCCGATCTCTGAGACCAGTGGCACTGGATGGCCAGATATTCCACAGTAGCCACAGCCTTTTGAGTCATTTTTCCAACAAGGTCAATTGGCTCATATCTGGATTTCATGTATTTTTTTGCAACTTTGCATACCCATTGTGGGCAAGTTGCAGAAAAATGTCTGAGGATTGTCTTCATAATCAGTTCTGATTTTCCAGTTCCTGTCAGTCTTGAGGCAAATAGACACTGGGCCTACTCCATCTAGAAAGCCTCTTTTCTGCCCTAAGATCCTGATACTGGTCAAAGCTCTAGACACACAAGACCTAAGCAAACTTCAGTAGGAAGGCCCTACACAGTGATCCTTTCCACCTCTACTACAGTTAAGGTGACAAAACACAACTCTTAGGTTCATCACTCCAGAGTGAAGCTTTGAACTGCTTCTGAGAGCTACAACAACAACAATGTACCCTTGGACCATCCCAAGGCCATATCTGAGACCACCTACACCTGTGAACCTGTGGAGGACCTCAAGTTTCTGTAAAAGATAAAACAAAGGTAAGTAATGCTAAAATCTGTCTACTTTGGGTATAGGTGATAGTTATTTCCTTATCCCAATTTCAAGATTTCCTATACATCCTGTCTCAAGAGGTTCAATTTATTCAATAGCCACCAAAAAAGACCTCATTGACACTACATAGCAATTCACTCAACCAGATGGTAGGGGCCTTGACCTCAGGGTATACTAATTGTTTGTTCTGTTTTACAGACCCCTAGATGGTTATGCCTCCCATTTTGGGTAACAGCCCAACCCACTCATCACCCATAAGATCTTAAGTAAGAGTGAGAATCCCTGAGCGCTCCAAACCCTCTAATTATCTTAACAAGTGTCCCCATCAGAGGTGTGATAGAAGGTGCTGACATATTTGACTGGATGTGATGCAGAGATATAAGGTCATATTTTCCCTTCTGCCATGACACAAGAAGTCAGGACACACTCACTAGACTCTCCTATTTCCTCCACAAAAAAATGGTGGAAAAAAGAGGGAAAATCCATTCATACGATAGCATTTTTAGCACTGTCCCTCAAAGAACGCTCATTCAGGTTATACTCCAAAATCTACCTCCCACCAATCTCATGAACAGAGCTCTGGCTCTCCTATATTCTCCTTATCCTCATACTTGTTCTACAGGAAATGTCTAATTTGAAGTAAATTTCATCTTGGCGGGGGGGGGGGGTACAGTGCTTAGATCCCTACAAATTTGAGGGACGTTGGGAGGTTGTTTAGCTAGGTCCCAGTCCTGATGTTGTAACTGCCTTTAATCACCCTGACCTAGATCATTAGAACAAATTCTTGTACAGGACACTGACCATCTCTTTGACAAAAGCAAGGGTCTATTACCCTCATTGTTCTAGGAGTTACACTCCTCCTAACTGCATTGGGAGGACTTAGCTATGGAGTACTTGCCAAGTCAGCTCAAATATCCAAACCCACTGCTAATATGGCTAAGGTGGCCCAAGACTCGGGACAATTTCAGGGACCTTGAGTTGTCTTTCAGTTCACTTGCAAAAATGGAGCTAAAACATACCTTCAAATTCTGGACTGAATATTTACCCATGGGGAGAAGTTGTTTGCATATAACTTACAACACCCTCCTGTGTACTTTATTATCTCTCGAGCACTTGTAGTACCTAATACAGTAAAAATGCTATGAAAATAGCTGTTGTTCTATATTGTTTAGTGATAATGACAAAATAAGTCTGTACATATTCATTACAGACACAGATTTTTTTTCCAAATATTTGACTCTGCAGATGTAGAACCTTTGGATAGAGAGGGCTGATTGTATTGCCATAGCCATTCTGAGTTATATTCCAATTTCTACTTCGCAGTTTAGAAAGTATGGAATATTATTCCCTATTTTAAAAAATCACTCCTTATATCCTTGGTTTCAAGTATCATCCTTTAAAATACATTTTAGCTTTTATCAGTAATTATACTTATTACTAACAGAAATATAGCTTTTCAAATATTTGCAATATATATGTATTTATTCTTTGATGAGCTTTATATCAAATATTTTATTGAGTTTTCTACTGAAGTATTTTTTCCCTCACTAATGGTAAGGTACAGTGTTTACACTCCCTCATTAACTGGTAAGGCCACAATCACTAGACCATTTTCCACTTAGACTTAATTCACTTTGTGTTCCTTTTGAAGCAAGTATCTTTAACTTCATTCTACAGCTTACTGACCATGGCAAAACTCAACAGCAAGTTTTCAGTTTTTAAAAATAACTTATTCTCTTTCATAATACTTTTATGTTGCTTTCATACTAACAGATATCTAATGATGGTTTAATGTGAGTCTTCAAATAGGCAATTAAATAATCCAGATTAGTTAAATAAAATAGTCATTCCATAGGAAACTTACTTTAGATAAATCTAAGAGTCTCGACTTTAGTCCAAAGTCAATGTCTTTCTTTGAGTACCTTGTGGTGTTAAAATACACATAATTCCGAATTGCAGCTGACAGTAATCCATCAGTCCACTCCATAGTATTAGGATTCAGTCGTCCATATAGCTCACCAAGAGTGATGCACTTTGGATTTAAAACACAGATATCAACCTTTCCTTTTCTTCCTGGGCCCTGGGGAAATTCCAGTGTGGTTAATCAAACTACTAGCTATGAATAATTGTCTTTTCTTTTTTAATTCTGTAATAATATTATCAAAAGGTTTTAGGAGAAGTCTTTCACAACTAAGAAAATTCTCTATGAAGGTTGCAATTTACAAGAAACAGTAAAAATGATTTATTAAAATTAGCCATACTATACAAATTATTATTTAAAAGTCTAGGTACAAATAGTTCTTCCAAAGGGATAAAAGAAGCCTCGTTGTGCCTCACCCAGGAATGAGGTGTTTGAATTGGGATGTGGAGTGTGGAGCCAGGGTGAGGGTGGAAAGGAGAGGGCAGGGTCTCTGTAAGATTCTAGCCTGGCTTGCTGTTGAAGCATGAGGCTGTCTCCACTAACTTAGACCTTAGGAAAGTAGCAAGGCCTTTTGCACGAAACCACAGACCTGAGGAGCTGGAGGCAAGAGATACAATAAACTCCTCAAGGCCCCAGGAGAAGCTGGGGTGAGAATCTTTGGGAAATTAAAAGGGGCAAAAACAGCTGTTCATAAGGATGAGTTGTGAAAGCCACAGTGAAGACACATGCACAGGAAAGAGCTGAGACCTTAGATGTCCATTTCATGCTAACACCTTACTCAGAACAGGCCCACTCAGAGCAGGCCCAGAATTATGCTACCACAGATCAGGTCTGAGAAGACTTGTAAGAACAAATAGGAATATCAAAACAAGGGGACCTAAATTTTAAAAAGGAAACAAACAAAAATCATAGGGCTACAATGTAAAAAAATTCAAGGACAGACTCAACAGCAAAGGTGTTCTACAACAGATTTGAGCAGCTAGAAGAAGTTTAATGAGACTTGAAAGCAGGGTAGCTGATGTTACCTGTGCTGAGGATAGTAAAGAATGACAATGAATAGAATCTAAGGCACCTATGAATATCATAAAGCATACCAACCTATGCATTATGTGAATCCTAGAAGCAAAGAGAAAAAGGGCAGAAAAATATTTGTAGGCATACTGGTCAAATTTTATCAGTTACTAAAATACATAGAATATACATATGAGAAGCTCAACAAGTGCCAAGCAAAATGAATAAAAATATATGAAAATGAAATGAAGAGGGGATTAAAATGGTACAAAACAAAAAACAAGAAACTGATCACTATCAGTAACAACTTTTGATGTAAATAGATGAAATTTGTCACTTAAAAGGAAAAAGATTATTGTAATAGGTAAAAAATATAATATATAACACAATATATGCTGCATACTGAAGACTTACTTTAGACACACAGCTCAAATAGCTTAAAATGAAACAAATGTTTCCAAATAATGTGAACATGAAAAGATTATTAAAAATATTCCACATATAAAAACTGAAAGAGAATAAGGTAGCTATATTAGTACCAGGGAAAACAGATTTTAGGTCAAAAATTGTGAAGAAACAAAGATATGGCATATTGATAAGTGGCAATTCATCAAGAAGATATAATACTTGCAAACATAGACACACCAAACAACAGAGCCCCAGAGTATAGAAAGCAACACTGACAAAACTGAAGGAAAGAAATGGATAATTCTACATTAGTACTTAGAGATTTAACATTCCACTTTCAATAATGGAGGGAATACACACACAGAAGATCAATAACGGAATAGAGGACTTGAATAACACTACAAACCAACTAGACCTAACAGACATATAAAAAACACTCTACTCAATACCAGAGAATGTATGCACATATTCTGAACTGCACATGCCATTTTCCAGGACAGACCATGTTAGGCCATAAAACAACTTTCAATAAACTTTAGAAGATTAAAATAATAAAATATCTTCTTTAACCATAATGGAATGAAGCTAGAAATGCAACACATTAGAATTAGGAAATTTGTAAATATTTATTTTTAAAGATAAAGAATGAAAACACATTAATAAACAGACATAAACAAAACAACACCTGAACAACAGAAGCAATACAGAGTTTCAGAGAAGGTGATAGGAAATTAACAATAGTTATTGTATTATATATTATCTTCAAATTGATTACTCAGTTAAACAAATGTAGGCATGTAAGATTGATCAAAAATTAAACATTAACTGTTTCTTTCAATAAAGCAATAGAAGTTGGCAGTATGACTCTCTCAGCTATCATGTGTGTATACACACACGTATTTTTATATGTGTATATATATATATACACACACACACATATTTTTCCCTTCTTTCTTTTTCACTTTTCCTTCCTCCCAGTTGTTCCCTCCCTTTGAGCAGTTTCTTTCTCTTTCACAATATCTATTATACCTTTCAGATTTTATTTACTCTTTCAGGTTCCTACACTAGTGAGACAATGAAATGTTTACACATGCAGGTCTGATTTATTTCACTTATCAGTATGGACTCTAGTTGCATCCATTTACTTATGAAAGCCTCAAGTTTATCTTTCTTTATAGCTGAGTAATATAACATTATGTGAAAGTACCACATCTTTTTTATCCATTCCTCAGTTGATGGACATTTGGGTTGCTTCCATGATTTAGCTATTACAAACTGAGCAGCTATAAACATGGGTGCACATATATCACTGGGATATGATGCTTGCAGTTCTTCTGGAGAAATACCCAAAAGAGAAAGAGCAGGGTTGAATGGGACCTCTAGTCCTAGTTTATTGAGGAATCTCCAGACTGATTTCCATAGGGGTTGCACCAGTCTACACTCCCACCAACAGTAGAGAAGGGTTCCTTTTTCCCCACAGCCTCACCAGCATCTATTATTGGTTGATTTCTTGATGATAGCCATTCTCTCTGGGGTGAGATGAAATCTCAGTGTTGTTTTGATTTGCATTTCCCCAGTGACCAATGATGTTGAACATTTTTTCATGTATTTATTTGCCATTTGTATTTTTTTATCTGAGAAGTGTGTATTCATCTCAGATGCCCATTTTTGGATTGGGTCTCTGAATTGGGGGGGCTGATATTTTTTAGTTCTTTATATATTCTAGATAAAAGTCTTTTGTCTGAGGGGCAGTTGGCAAAAATTTATTCCCAATTTGTGGGTTTTCTTTTTATTCTGCATTATGGTTTGTGTCTGCATGTACCCCCAAATCCTCATGCAGTCATGGGGCGGGGTTCTAGGATTTGTGATTGATCCATGATCCAATGCTGGGACATGGGTGTGAGTGCTACACCTGTCCCGGGGTGGGTAGTTTGCATACAATGTAAGGGAGGGAAAGAGGTTGCTTGCCATTATTCCTCCCTTTGGCTCTTGTTGCTTGTGGGAGTCAGTGGTCTCTCCATGGTCCCCAGGAGAGAATGGTGAGAGGATATAGAACATAAAGACAAGAGACGATAGCCAGGGTCAGGTGGAGTTACCTCTTGCCTGATGAGCAAGAGGACTGACTCCAACATTAGGGGCATTTATTTTATACACTTGCAAAGTAGTATCATGAGAGATAATGTTGCCTAGTGACTAAGATTAAGACAAAGACTAAGACTAAGACTGCAATTGTCCAAGCAGGATACTTTTTTCAATACTGAGGTAGCTTGACTGTCTGAGGCACTTTGGATCTGTCCCACCCTCAGACATATGACCAACAACCAACTCCAGTGGCTCCCAACATTGCTTTTGCTGTGTTCTGCTGCCATGAACGCTTGCCCTCTGCCATGTGCCACTCTGCCTTGGAACCAGCCAAGTATGGACTGAAACCTCCACAAGCTGTAACCTAAATAAATCTTTCCTTCCTTAATTTTCAACATCAGGAATTTTTTCTCAGCAATAAGAGAAAAGTAACCAAGATACTCTGTTGGTGATTTCTCTAGATGTGCAAAAACTTCTCAATAAGATGAGATCCCAGTTGTTGATTCTTTGAAGTATTTGTAGTTTGGTTTTTGTTCATGAACTCTCTGCTTACCCCTGTGTCTTTGTCTTTGTTACTTTTCTCTCGTTGCTGGGACAAAATACCTGACACCCAAAATTAAGGAAGGAAAGGTTTATTTAGCTTACATTCATGTAGGTTTCAGTCCATACTCAGCTGGCTCTAAGGCAGAGTGGCACATGGCAGAGGGCAACTGTTCATGGTGGTGGAACACAGCAAAGCAACAAGAGCAAAAGGGAAGAATGGCAGGAAGCAGCTCTTCCTCTCTTTTACATATGCAAACTATCTGCCACAGGGCAGGTGTAACACTCACACCCAATGAATCAAAACTCTAAAAGCCCACCCCATGACTGCATGAGGATTTGGGGGGACATGCAGACACAAACTATGACAGTCTTCAATATTTTTACCTACTTCCTCTCCCAGTAGATTTAGTGTTTCTGTTTTAATATTTAAATCTTTGATCCATTTTGATTTGAGTTTGGTGCATGATGACAGACATGGGTCTAGATTCAGTTTTCAGCACATGGTGAGTCAGTTTTTCCAGCACCATTTATAAAGAAGCTATTATTCTTCCAGTGAACATGTTTGATCCCTTTGTCAAAAATAAATTGGCTGACTGTGTTTGTGGTTGTGGCTGCACCTTCCAGGCTGTTCCATTCCTCAGTTCTGTTTTTTTGTCAATACCATGCTGATTTTATCACAGTGGCTTTGTAGTATCATTTCAAGTCAGGGATTGCGATGCCTCCTGCCTTGTCTTTGTTGCCCAGGAATGCTTTTGCTATTCTGGATCTCTCCTGGTTCCAGATGAATTTTAGTAATGTTTTCTGTAGATCTGTGAGGTATACTAATGATATTTTAATTGGGATTGCATTGAATCTGTACAACAATTTTGGGAGTATACCCATTTTCACAATGTTGGTTCTTCCAACCCATAAGCAAGGAATATCTTTCCATTTTCTGAAATCTTCTTCAGTCTCCTTTTTCAGAGTACTGTAGTTTTCACTGTGAAGATCTTTCACTTCTTTTGTTAGATTGATTCTTAAGTATTTCAATTTTTTGGATGTTATTGTGAAGGGTATGGTTTCCTTAATTTCTCTCTCAGTGTATTTGTTGTTTGTGTATAGGAATGCTATTGATT